GTGCCCCTGTCCCCCCGGCCCCCTGTCCCCGTGCCCCCTGCCCCGTGTACCTGTGTCCCCCTCCTCACGTCTCTGTGTTTCCAAGATCCAGTGTCCCCGCATCCCCGTGTCCATGTTCCTGTGTCCCCGCGGCTGCGCCCAGGGCTGCCTGTCCTGTGCGAAGTAGGCAGCCGCCCGCTCGGGGCCATAGGTCTCGGCAGAGAGGGGGCCCGGCAGAGACGAGGACGTGCAGCCTCCACCGCGGACTGCAGCCCCTTCACTGCTCCTGCTCCTGCTCCAGCCCCCCTCAGCGCAGGCACCGGCCCGCAGCTCTCCGCGGGCGCCCCGGCAGCTCTCCATCCAGGGGTCACCCGGAAGGAGTGTCCTGTTCCCTCTCGGACGGTCCTACCCCACGTGGTAGCCCTGCACGGGGGGGTGGGGGGTGCATCTGGGGGTCCACAGCCTCCCCTCAAGCCTCCCCTCAAAGCCTGGGGCCTAATTCCCTCCACAGCTCACAGATTTGGGAGCCGGACCTGGACCCCAGCACGCCCGCTCTGCCCTTTTAGACCTCCAGGCGGCAGCAACGGAGGGTAAGGAGGGGGGGACCCCACCCACCCGGTTCCCCTTGTAAAGCGTTACCTTAAGCTGGCACACGGCCTTGGGCAGCCCCTCCTCATCCCTTTCCAAAGCGAGGTCATCGGCCCAGACGACCTGGCCGCTGTCTGACACCTTCGCAGGGCCTTGTCCATGGTCCACCCGTGTCTGTAGTCTGGCCACATCCATGGTCCACCCGTGTCCGTGGTCTGCCCGTGTCCGTGGTCCGCTGTGTCTGTGGTCCGCCCATGTCCATGGTCCGCCCACACTGCCCACCTCACGGGCGGGGTATGGGTGGCTGCCTTGTTTCACAGCATCACGTCCTCAAGGTCCACGTGTGTCCTAGCGTGTGTCAGAACATCCATCCTTTATTTTTTAAAATATATTTTATTGATTTTTTACAGAGAGGAAGGGAGAGGGATAGAGAGTTAGAAACATCGATGAGAGAGAAACATTGATCAGCTGCCTCCTACACGCCCCCTACTGGGGATGTGCCCGCAACCAAGGTACATGCCCTTGACCGGAATCGAACCCGGGACCTTTCAGTCCACAGGCCGACGCTCTGTCCACTGAGTGACACCGGTTAGGGCACGTCCCTCTAAAAAAAATTTTTTTAAAAAAAATTAATTTCAGAAAGGAAGGGAGAGGGAGAGAGAAACACCAAAGGTGAGCCCTGGCCGGTGTGGCTCAGTGGATAGAGCGTCAGCCTGTGAACCAAAGGGTCCTGGGTTCGATTCCGGTCAAGGCCACGCAGTTGCAGGCTCCTCCCTGGCCCAGGCCCTGGTCAGGGCGCGTGCACGAGACAACCAGTCGGTGTGTTTCTCTCTGTCTCTCCCTCTCTCTCCCGCCCTCTCTAACAATCAATGAGAAAATATCCTCCGTGCGATTAACAACAACAAAGATGAGAGCGAATCATGGGGCGGCTGCCTCCTGCGCGCCCCACACTGGGGATCGAGCCCGCAACCCGGGCCTGTGCCCCGACCGGGAATCGAACCCTGACCTACTGGTTCACAGGTGGATGCTCAACCACGGCGCCACGCCAGCT